TCAGCAGGGGTCCAATGTTGCCCCTGCTTTTCCTCTGGCTCCCCACATATCTGAAAAAGGACTTTTTATTGTCCTTGATGCTCACAGCTAGCTTGCTTTTGTTCTGCCCCATGGACTGCCAGGGCCTAATACAGTACAAAGCAAGAATGAATAGGATTACTTAAGACCATTTGGTATAGAGGTTGCAAAAAAAATAAATAATAATTTAAAAAAATCAACAACCTGATCCTTCCTCTTTCTTTTATATTGTTCTAAGCTCTGTTTAAAATCACATTTCTAAGGTAGCAGCAGCAACTCATCTTTTAAGCTCAATGCATTATTTGAAAAAAATGTTACCTTAAAAGTTCATGTGTCATATTATCTCAGCAATAAGTTTAAGGTGTTGTGTATAGCCTTTTAGTTTTAAGCATTTTTTACTATTACAATAGAGAAACACTTTTCTTAGCATGTTTGTAAACATACATTTTACCTAGGAAGTCTCTTAGAATTCTGATAAAACACTGGAAACTGTTAAGACAAAAATAGACATACAGGGCTAATCAAACTCAATGCTTTCCAAACTGGGTGGATGGACAGCTTTGAAAGCAACTTACTAAGCGTCTAAAAGTACTATGCAAGGTGATAGGTTTATTTCCCCAATAGTAAGCAAGCTTTAACCCAACGTAATGGGTGAAACTCAGGAGGGATCTATACTTTGAAGAGGTGTAAACTTTTCAAAGTGTAAATTATACCGGTTTTGTAATCCTTGTTTCAACCTTCCATCATGCAGTAGTGTAACTTAAGGTAATAAGCTAATGTATAACTTTTTTTTTTTTTTGCAAGTGTAGTAATACATTGGGGCTTAATGCAAAATTGAGAGGCTGTATTTTCATAAATATCATTAAAAACTGGAGTATTACAACCACACTTACTCCATATACTGCTACAAAAAAGTAGCCTTAATATGTCATTACTTGATAACTCCTTACAAAACTCTTTTGTTCAAAAGAATCAAGGGAAGGCAATTACCACTGCATTTATTTTTATTATAAAATACTTGTGCAGGGAAATTAGAAACTGCTGCTACAAAAATAAAACATAAAAAAGCAAATATAAAACAAATATACACTTTTTTTTTTACATACGTTGTGTGTAAGCAACATAAAAATACAAGTTATTTACAGGTAGAAACAGTTAAACAGCACAAACGCATTTTCTTTGATTGTCAATACTGACTGAGCAATGAAGAGAAAAAAAAAAAAGCTATATACAGTTGATTTTTCATTTCAAATTAATTCCTGAACAATGAATGTTGGATAGTCTATACACAGAATTTACTGTATTTACTCCATTAGAAGACAAGGATTTTTCCCCCATTTAACATGGGTGGGAAAAGCCCATCTTACAATTGAGCACAAGGAAGTAGGGGGGAGACAGCTGTTGGGGTTGGAGCCAGAACTACGCTTGCCACCTGCTTCTCCCCCTCCCCCTGCCTCTGCATGCCCTGTCACTCCTCCCCTAGTCCCCATCCCCCTGCGTCTCCCTCTCTCCTCCCCTGCAACACTGCTTCCTTGGCTCTGCACTTGGCTTCATGCTGGCAATCTCTGTCCCCGCTGCAGCTAAGGGCTGGGGCTGGAACAGCAGTGCTGGCTATGCATCACTGCAACAGGGACCAGAGCCTACCAGCGCAGAGCAGGGTAAGGGTCAGTGGACAATATTTAACTGGTCAAGTGACTGGCTTGTCAGCCCTATTTCATACATGGAAAATTATAATAAGTTTTAAACTTTTTGTGTGTAGAATCTAATGATTAGGGGCTCACCTTACATGCAAGGCCTTGTGTTCAAGTAAATCTGGTATTATGTGGACAAATCTCTGATCTTTAGCTGCCTAAAGTACCACATACTTCTACAATGTTTTACAGTTGATCAGATTGGTGTAAGTACACCAACCCTTTCCTCTTCCATTTGTACCAGATCTTATTCTAAATGGAATTTCTGAATTTTAAGTTTCTCGTAAGCAGAGTAATAAAGTCACTTTTAATGCTAGCAAAACATTTATTAAGCTTTTATGCCCAAAAAGCTGCTTTGCTTTAGTCAGTGGGGACCAGCTGGATTGGTAAACATCACAAGAATGGAAGACAGACAGTGCAACTTCTCTTTGATGTATTCAGGTAATTTCTCATTTTCTCCATACCTGAGGGAAGGAGGAAGTTACACAAGTAAAAAACCATGAATGCTATACCCTGAGATGCTTAGAATGAGTTTATCATTTCAGTATATGGATAGTGGCAATACAAAGTATAAAGCATTTTCAAACTTGGGTACTAAAGATAGGCTGAAATCAAGTTACTGCTTAAATTACAGTTGAGCATTGTTCTTCAAATAAATTCTAAAGATATTTCAACTGTTCTGGATTAGAGTTTTATAAGCAAGTTGTTACAAAAAACATTTAAATGAGAGGTAACTATAGTACTTAAACTGATTGCATCATCCATTCTTAAAGTGTTACGTTCCTGATGTTCTCTGTATTAAAAAGAATAGTTCTAATGCATCAAAAGGTAGGCTAAAATCTGTATAACCTAAGTATTAACTGCCATATTCAAGTCCATGTACTAGCTATAACAGTGTTATTTACTGCTACAGTCCCTGAACTTCCAAACTTTGATCACCTTCTCCTGAAAAGACAGTTTTCATTAAAGCTTCTTTTAGTCAATTTTTCCAAAGAACCTATAGCCTAATTAGTTAGAGGTAGTTCAGTATAATGCAAAAAAAAACCCCAAAACATATGAATAGATTCTAATTGCAATAATCATGTATCCATCTTTAAAATTAATCCCTTGTTGACCATGTCAAAACTTCAGTCATTCAAAAAAAACCCCAATCACTGTGTAACTGAAAGGGCAAAATTAGAAACTAATTATGAAGCTAAATATAAGGTAAGAAGCCTTCTCAAGTAGAAATAGAATCCATATACTTATAGCAGTAACACTCACCTAGTTGTCTGACCATTTGGAGATGTGTAAGTGATAGAGGAGACTCCTGCTTGTGCTACCAACTGGGATCCATCATTGAATTGAACCCATACTGCTCCGCTAGTCAACTAACAAGAGAGATTTTTATCACAGCATAAAGACTTTCAAAAAGGTAGGACTGCAAACCTACATTTTCTCTTTTCAACCTCCTAAGGGTTACAACTTTAAAAAATGCATAAGTGATTAGGAGTGCTAATCCAGATGTAAGATATCCATAGGTTGGTACTACAGTCCCAATTTCTATTTAAAACTTTTGAACAGGAGTTACACACATGAATATTAAAAAAAAAAAAACAAACTAGCCCTTTAGTCACTTTAGTACTAAACTAGTTTCAGAAGTGTGGCTAGGAACTGTAAAGTAGAAGCTGCACAAAAATAACAGAAGCTGTTTGATTGGCTCAGTATCCTAGTAGTTTAAAACCAGGAACATGCCATAAGTTTGTTATATCTGCACTGTAGAAAGCAATTTTTTAGACTTATAGTTTAAAAAGTGTTTTTTCTCTTTTGCCTCTGCCACCCTTTGTAAACTCTATCTAGCTTATCCAAAGACATGCATAGCCTATGGTACAGGAAACAGTAAGAAAATTAAGTCCTTCTCCAAAACAGCATCTGGGTAATTACAAGTGAAAAACTGTTAAGTTTAACACTACCCATTTAAACCTTAAATTTTACAACTTTACAGTGAACATTGCCACCCCTATTAGAGGCTTTTTTCATCTATTCCCTATAAGATGTTCTAGTCTGTTCAACTGTCAGATAAGTAGTACTAAGTTCAGCTCAACTACTTATTTTAAACTTGAATCAGTTCACCTCTTCATCTTCTGTCAGAGCTAAGTTCCAGTTTTCATATCAGGCTTCCTCCATCACTTGTTGCCCTATACTGCACTTTCCAATGTACTAGTCTTCAAATATGTGCATCTAAAATGGTCATTTAAAAAATATACTTTATTCCCTGATTGCAAGTGAAACCAAAATTAAATTTCACCCATTTAAAATGAACAGTAATAAATGTGTATTTATCTAGTTGGCTAGTGATTCACCACTCACCTGAGAAGCCCAACCCACATTTTTCACAAAAACAGACTTCACTAGTTGGGCTGAATTTGAATTGCACTCCTTTTGATTGGAGGAACAGGTTGTTTCAGCAACAGCAGTTCTTAATGCAGAGCCTTCATAAGATACCATCTAGAAAGAGAAACACAAGTACACAACATTACTGTCCTTAATAGAAATAAGATGGATTGTGGTTACTTACTGTCTTGAGCAATAAAAGTATTTGATTGGTTCCAACTTGAAGTTTGTGATCCTTTATTTCTAGTTAAAGTGAGATTTGAGCCCTAGGAAACCATTTGACACTTAATTGTTCTACAAGATTCATGGTTTAAAAATAGGTAAGTTGTATGTGAAATCTTTTTCCATACCGGAACAAGATGGCAAGATAATTTTCTTCAGCTTCTGTTTGAGATTTCCAGTCTCTCAAATCACAAATACTTTCCTTTCTACTTCTTTTCATGTTTCCTTATCCAGAATTTACTACAGGGGCCTTAAACTCACCCCTCTGCTGGATTCAGACCACAGGCCAAATCTGTGGGGCCACATTCAGGCAGTAGTGTGGATCTACTGGCAGCAGCATAGATCCAGGGACATGCAGCTGCACTGTGCTGCAGAAACACAGCTTTGAGTGGGGAGCACATGGTGATGACGAGCTCTGGCCAGTCAGCAGCACTGAACTGCACTCAGTTCTAGCTTTGTCCTGCCTCCTCAAAGACATGTCCCCAACCCCACACTACATGAAGGCAGCTCCATGCTACTGTCCATCCCTGTACCCATTCTGCCACATGCCCCTGGCACTGCTGGCTGGCCACAGCTGTGCCACCAGGCAGCAGTGTAAGGGCTATGCTACAATGTAAAGCCAAGGGGCAGTGCACTTCTAGTAGCCCACTGGACTACCAACGACTGGGATGCAATGATTCCGCAGGCCAGACCCAGCTCATGGGCGACCCTGCCCTACTATTACAGCTTAATTGTAGAATCTTTGAACAGGCCTCAGACCACACTACTTGCAAGTATGCTACTCTTATTCTTTGTCTCAAAAAAAAATTTAAAAAAAAAAATCTTTTTTTTAAACTATTATTTTTAATTGCTAGCAGATAATTAAAGCATGCAACTGCTTGATTTGGCTTGTAATAATTTTGGAGTTGTGCCTATATAGATGCTACAAATTCTCAAGGAAGTTACAAAATTGCTGAGGGATTCAATCCCTCCATATAGGGGGAGTCACCTGTGTACTGTCATAATGCTATCATCTATTTACAAGACCAAGGAACACAGGCATGTTTGATAGTTCCTATTCAAGCAGAAAGCAGTCTTAAGGAAATCTAAGGCAACAAGTCTAGCAAGTTTGCCTGTAGAAAGGTTTGGAGCTGTCAGTATGGCAGGACATATACACTTTTCAGACACTTAAATTAGTTGAAGATTAGGAGTTTAAAATTTAAGATTCTTTGTTAATGGTCTCAAAGAACATTTCAGCCTAAAGGAACTAGGAATGAAAACTAGTTAAAGTGTAAATTTATAACTGTTTACCTTAGCACCTATTTGGACATAATCTGTATTATTTTAAATTCTTACTAAGCAGGCATCACCAAATCTTATACACTGGTATACTTACAGAAGGACTGATGTTAGGAGCTTGACTAGGAGAACTGACAGCTCTATTTCTTTCCAATGAGGTAGCTTTTCCTGTGCTATCTGCATCCACTGAAGGCAGCATCAGGGCCTTTGGTGATTCAGTGTTCCCTGGTTTTCTGGAAATAGATTAGGAAGTCAGAATAAAAGCATCTGTGTATCCTAATTATATAAGTACTAACTTCTCTTCACAGTTGATATCCACTGGGCATGTCTACACGTGCATTAATGCGCTTTTCCGAACGCGCATTAAATTTGGTACCTCCAATGTGAGGTACTAAATGTGCTTTAGGCTGCCATAATGTGCAGTAGCGCAAGCACGCACTTTTTAGGTAACACATTGTGCAACAGCAGTTTTTGATGTTCCACTTTAATGTGCAGTAAAATAGGCTACTGGGCAGTAAGGCATACGTGTATATACTCCCACTGTGTTTGAAAACACACACACCAAGCACCTGAGTTAAAAAACTCTGTACTTTGACTGTCCTTTTGACCTTGATTCTAAAGAAGTTAACCAAATAAGTCAGCCCAAATACTTTGTACTGGTACATTTAAATGAACATATTGACTCAGTTATTTAAATTTACTATAAACAACACTTTTACCTTCCAACAATTATAGGGAAAAAGGGAACATTTTCATTCCTTTTCTCCTCTTCCAAAACAGCAGCTTCCAGTGCAAGACAAATGCGATGTCCCTTATTTAAAAATAGAAGGTTGCTTTAGTTTATATTCAGGAAAAAAAGTACTTCAAAGTACTCTGCTTGAAATGCCCAGCTCTTCTCTTACCCAAAGAAATGGTAAGCAATGCAGAGTAACTAAACAACGATGTCATTAACATGGTATTAGCAGCCCCAAAGCAGTTGCATGACTGCTAGTAGAAGCTTTAAAAGCTAAGGAAACTACCTTCACTACCAAAACTAGATGGCTCCCAAGAGATTCAAGGTCGTATTGACATTAAGCTGCTACACCAGGAGCTGGCAATTATTTCGGGTGGAGGGTCACTTAACAAGTTTTGGTGAGCTAGAGGGCTGTAAGGGTAGCCCCACCCCTTGACAGCCCTGCCCCTGGGTCGCCATCTTGGGGCTGAAAGCCCCACCCCCTAACTCCTGACCTGTGCCACTGAAAGTGCCTCCCCTTGCCCCCAGAAGTTTTCCTGTTGGGAAGGAAAAGGGGGTTTGTCATCTTGAAGGGGGTTTGTCATCTTGAAACCAGAAAAAAACAACATGGGGTAAAACAGCCCCTTCCTCCTTGCCACTTCTAGTGCTTCCTCATGTAGCCTCCCGAAGCCTGCACTGGGTTGCCCTGCATCTACCCTGCATTACCACCACCTCTAGGCTGCCCTGCAGGGCAGCGGTAGCAGTACAGAGCAGATGCAGGCAGCCTGGAGTGGTGCAGGCTCCGGGAGGCTATACCAGGAATCGCCGGCAGCAGCAAAGGGAAGAATACAGTGCCAAGAATCTTTGAGAGAAAGTATACAAGTTCTGAGCAGGGCACTGTGTGCATGTGTGTAGTGTTTGCAAAAGAATTATTACCTCATTTGCATGATACATATATATTTGCATTTCATTCTTCAAGACGCTTTCATTTTCTTCTTTTAAAGTGTAAGATTTTCCAGATTTTTCTATCACTCGAGTTATACCTGCTGTCTTATGTATTTTTGCCCCTGGAAGGAAAAAAAAAAAAAAAAAAAAAAGCTAGTTACAATGGCCGTAATAACCAAATCAGCATATTATGGCATCTATGTTCAGTTATTCCTTAAAATATTCTGTTATCTTAACACATTTCCAAGGCAAGACATTAAATAATGAAGTCAGGTATTAGGCAAATGTTTTCCAGTTACAACCAAATTACTGAAACAGTTCAGGAATGTATTTATTATTTGCCATACGCAGCTATTTGAAAGGTGTTGCTTGAAGTATGACCAAAAGGACAGGCACTTCTCAGCAGCTTTACCAAAAAAAACCTGATTGATGAGTGACCTATTTGGCTACTTACGCCATCTTTAAGAAAGGAAGAGTTCTTTCAGAACATAGGCAAGAGTTCAGGTTTCACAATGTTTGAAAAATGGACCCCTGTGCCCATTACGATGGAAAAGAATGAGGCTCAAAGTACTTAGCAATTCTAGTATTACTATAGTGGTATCAGAGCCTGGTTGGTTATCTGAAGCAATCTAGCTGTAGAATCACAGAGCTCGTTGTGGACGTGGGATGTGATTACTCTGATGACAACAGTCCAGACAGACCCCTGACTCCCTTGCTTGAATCTTCTAAGTAAGGACACTAGAATTTTAGATAATGAGGGTGGAATTAAGGGCAAAGGCACTATATACCTACCTAGTGTGGAATCACAGGCATTCATAAAAGAAAGTCCACAAATTAAAGAGAAAGGGAGTTAACATTTTGCCTTGTAGCATCCACTTAAACACACTCATAATATTTGCATAGAGCTAATGTACCTATTAACACTATTTAAATAGCTTGTGCACAAACTAGTATAAAGGCTAATGGACAAAAATGCTGGAACATATAGTAAACACTTCTCTTTGGCAAAATTCTTTTAAAAAGCACAAAATGTTTGATCACTAGTATTTCTGCAAAACCTTGTTAAAAAGGCTTAACTTTGGTAGAACGGGAGAGATACTACACCGTATTGAATACATACCATCATAAAAACAAACTTCAACATCTGCAGTAGGGAAATTCTCCATCAACATGCACTTCGCGTATCTTGTATAGAAGGTAACTTTAGGTGTTTTTGATCTCACCAGATGAACAAATTTAGCTGCATACTGGTACTTTTTCCAGTACTTTTCTGAGAGAGAGAATTTTTAGTATTAATCCATCAGAAAGTCACCCAAACAATCATTGACTCCATTACAGTTTGCAAGGTTTGCCTGGCTACCACTAACTGAAAATAAGATGAGGACTTTTTAAAAAAAAATCATTTCATACAGTTACTTAAAAAGTGTGCTTACTCATAATATTTCTTAAGAGTCATTCCAACAGTTAGGTATTTACACCTAGGAATGGATATTTTATCTTATCTTATAATGTAGTTCAGTATTGACTAGTTCAGCCCACATGAAATGCATTACAGGAAAGTGCTGCACATATGTTAATAACCTCATAGATTGTAGATTTGGAAGGGACCACAATGGATCATCGTGTGCGACCCCCTGCTCCTGGCAGGAAAGAGGACCGAGGTCAGATGACCCCAGCCACGTGACTATCAAGCCTCCTCTTAAAGACCTCCAAGTTAGGTGATAGTACTACCTCTCTTGGAAGCCCATTCTACATTCTGGCCACCCTTACTGTAAAAAATGTCTTCCTAATGTTTAACCTAAATCTACTCTCCACTAGTTTGTACCCATTATTCCTAGTTACTCCCAGGGGCGCTCTGGTAAATAGCACATCTCCAATTCCCTGTTGTCCTCCCTTGATAAACTTATAGGCAGCTACAAGGTGTCCCCTCAGACGTCTCTTGTGAAGGCTCAAGAGATCCAGATCTCTTAACCTCCCCTCATAGCGTCTTGCACGGAGGCCACTAATCATGCGAATGGCCCTTCTCTGAACCCTCTCCAGAGTCTGTGTCCCTTTTGAAGTGCAGCGCCCAAAACTGGACACAGTACTCCAACTGTGGCCTGACCAATGCCGCATAGAGGGGGAGCATCACCTCCCTTGATCTGTTGGTCACGCATCTGCTAATATACAAGATACGATTGGCCTTGCTGACAGCCTCATTACACTGCCGGCTCATGTTCATCTTGAGCTTCAACTTGTTCAACTTATTTAATAAGGAATCAATACACACATCTTTTATATAAAATATTTTTCCAGCTGAAGTTAGAAAGTCAGTGAATGACCTACAATTAAAATAACAAGAGGATGCTGTACTAATAAGCACCTTTAAGGAAACTGTAAAAACTACTTAGTGTGTGTGTGTGAGAACAAAAGTGTGCAAGCAAGATGTATATAAAAATAAGTTCTGTAAGAGATATCTAAGGTTTTATATTTAAAAATTGGAATTACCATGAAGTCCCAGTTGCCAGTTTTAAAGAAAACTCTTGACACACCAGTTTAAGTAACCTTAACACTGAACGCTAAGAATAATTATTAAAAAAACCCAAAAAAACTCTTCTCCCTTTTTCCAACATTGTAGAAGTAAAATAGGTAATTTCTTGTAAGGACATCATTAAACTGAAAAGACCAGTCTCTCATCTCACCTTTATAATTCCTATTAAGTTTCAAGAGAGAAAGCTTTAAATGCATCCAGTTTCAATTGCAGCTAGTAGGACTAGCTAATACAGCCAATATTAATTCTGACACTTATTGTACACAAAGCTTACTATAAACTACTCTTCTTTTATCTCCCTAATTTCTTGCAAAAGAAGGTTCACATTACCTGGCAAGCTGTCAAAACTGTACATACAGACATCTTCAGGAGGAGAAGGTGGTCTGTCATCAAGAAGGAAACCTCTTCCTTCATTTGGATGATATACTGTAATCTGCCAAAAAAAACCCAAACACTTACTATCATTAGACAATATACTAAAATACGCCTTACCTGAAAGCTAGGAATGTTTCTTTCATAATCCAAAACATAATATCACTTATTATATTCCTGTCTATGCAATTATTTTACTTCAGTTTCAATTGAAAGCCAAGCCTGTTTTAGCACAAACACAAAAGGAGGGATCCATATTCTTTAAAATAAAATGGTCTTCTACCTTCAAGATGCAAGGCTTTACTGCTAGAGAAAAAAGAGTTCTGCGGATTTCTCGGTCATCTTTTCGTACAAACCACTAAATAAAAAATAAATTGTACAGAACAAACTGATGTTTAACTCAGGTTAAATTGAGCTTAAAGCAATATAGTTGTTTTGCTTTTGACATACCGAACAAACAAATATTTCCTTTTATTATGTCAAGTGAATGACAATTTAAGTTAAATTACTACTTACCACACTTCCATCACAAGATATTTTGAGAACTTCTTTTACAAACTCTTGAGAATGTTGTTCTTTTATAAACTCCATACACACTTCTCCTGCATCTAAAATACTCACCTAAGGAAAAAACAAAAACACAAAATTGGAAAAATGTAATTATTTCTTGACAGAATAGGTCTACACCGAACTTTCACAACACTTCAGAAAAACGTTTGCTTCTCTCATGTCCACCACAAATCTATTATAAAAATGAACAAACAACAGTATGACAGATTAAGCTGTTGCTTTCATACCCCCTAAAGCAACTTCTACTGGTAATGCTGTTAAGTGGAACGATTCCAATGCTTCTGCAATGTGAACAGAGAGTTATACCCAGATATGTGGTTTCCCAAAGTAACCAATCAGAAACCAGGAGGTACGTCATCCCTAACACATTTTCAGATACTAGAAAAAGGAGGAGAAAGTGAACTGGAAGCCAGAAAGATAAAAACTGGAAACTACGAAAATGCAGTTTGATATAAGACCTACCAAAAAAAGCCACCAAACACTGGGGAAAGAACTACTGCATTCATAAGGGGAAAGAGAATTATTTTCTTAACTTCCAGTTGCACATAGCTCAAGTTAAAACATTTGTTATGCACTGCAAACACATACAAGCTACATATATTTAAATCTGATACAATTAAAGCCTGATGTGCATATCAAATGGAGATGTATTGAAATTCAGGAGTCCTTGTGGAAAAACAGAGAAAATAGATCTGATACATATTTCCAACTTACAATGGTTCTAGTTATCATAATTAAAAAACCCATCCTTCACACATGTGGAAAAAAAAATGACCAGTAAGAGAATTCAATGCATTACGACTAAGACTTACCATTCTAGGGAAATTGTCATTATTTCTAGACGTATGCAATGGACATGTACATCTTTTCCTGTTTTGCTACGGTATTTTCTTAATAAAAAAAAATTGTGCATTTCCACTGTAATTAAATTTTAAAGATAGGAGTGTTTAAGGATTAAGGGAAATAAGTGACACATACCACTGCATTTTTTGTTTTTTGTCTGATTGGTTTTAATCTATGAGCACTGAGAGGAGAGACAATACTTCGTAGTGAAGGCTTCTGATGTCCTAATGGCTCTTTGCCCCAGGCTTTTTTTTGCTCTGAAGTTGGATGGAGAACAAATGTGGATGCTGGTTGAGCTTTGCTCTGCTTACATGGAAGTCCAGAAGCATATTTCTTTACGCTGAATTGATTTATAGGACATGCACTGTCAAGGGAGACATCAGGATTCTTTTTATCTTTTATATCGTTCCACAGGTCTCTTGACATTTCCTGTTGTACATCTAGATGGTCACATAAATGGAGGTTTTGGATACCGAGACTGATAGAATCTGCAGGCTGTCTTAAATGAGCTAAAAACAAATCAACACACAGTGTTTTTAAATGAAATACTGATCAGTTTCACTTCAGTAACAATGGAGCAAACTTTATATATAATCTACCACCGTAATGCATTCTTTTTAAGAAGAAATTTAATTTTATCTGGTTAAAAGTATAATAATTGAACAGGCTGCAGCTCTAATTTAGAATGTCTACAATATTCTACTTTTGAATACATAATATCTCAGTAAGATGTAAGTTGCAAGTAAGATTATTCACATTTTGCATTGCAGTTATGCTGTTTTTCCACCTTAACTTGATGAAACAGATTGTTTTTAAATTTGACCTAACTGCTATTCTAGTTTTGATATTGAATCCAGCACCGCATCCCCCACCAAGTCAGAACAATTAACTACACCCCTTCTGCCACAATATAAAAGCAATACAGGATTGAAAACAGAACAAGTGCAGAGAGAAGCTGGCTTTTATTAAAAATACTGCAGTTCCAAGCATACATCATATGGTTACAATTCCCCAGGGTTAGAAGGGATGGACTCTAGTACTATCAGAACAAAATAAAATTGGAGTGGGTTTTATGTTATTTAAAACCCGATTAAATTACACCTTTATTATGTACAGTCTGTGTACATGATGTAATACAATACATGGCAAAGAACTCCTCCTTCCCTTCTGTGTCTCTTGTTTTTTTTATCTCCACCCTTCCTTCTGCAGCCCTAGTCATCATCTGTTTCTCTCATGTCATATGCTCATAAATAAATGGGTTGGTCTAATAAAAGATATCAAATTCACCCAAGGAACCTTGTCTGCCTATGTCCTTAGACCAACACGACTACAACCTAAACCCCTGCATAAATAAATGGGACTCTTAAGAAATAAGAGCTGGCATTCTTCGACTAATCCTCAGAACAGTCACATTCGGGTAAAAAGAAAATATTAAAAAAAAATGCTAAATCTCCCACTTCCAAGTAGGAGACAGGTTTTTAGGAGCTTAGGTCAGTTAAAAGGTTTGTAACTTCCATTTGTCAGTCAGAGCCATTTATAAAGTCTACTGAACTATTCTATTTCTTGACAGCACTGAACATGGAAAGAATTAAAAAAAAATTGTATTTTTTCTAGTAAGCTTAACTAACAATTCTTGCCAAAGAGAAACTGGGAACCTGAATGACAGGGGGAAAAAAGACCATTTCAGAATGCTGAAAAACCTGACTATAAAACTCCACTTACTCCATTGTAGGCAGTTATTCTTAAATAGTATGTTACTGTTAATTTACAATTAGTAAACCTGTACAGAGCAGAATTCCCTTGTGTGCCCCCCCACCCCTCCATATGATTTGACATATCCATTTTTAAATTTCCTCTTACACTTTTCCTCCAGGAAGAAGAATTTGGTTGCAACACAGCTGCTAGACAACATACTCTCTCTTTCATTTATACTATCATTATATTTCACTGTCCTGGATTATTTAACCATGCTAAATTATATCTTTTCATCATGTGAGTAAATAAGTTAATTTATAAAGTAGAGATGAGCAGTTAACATGTCTTAATAACAGTATTTCTTTGGCTGGGGCAAGGCCCATGCTGGATTACATATAGAAGACATTCAACAAGTGCATACCATTTGTTTGCATGCCTCCAAGCCATTGCTGCATTGTTTCAGTCTGGGTCTTCTGTTCTAACAAACCAACACTGGACTTCATTGGACAGAGATAATTTGATCTAAATAAACAAACAATTCTGGTCTGTTATAGAAGCACCAATGTATATAAACACATTAAGCCCAGATTAAAATAAGTGTGCGCAAGAACCTACACCCTACACCCGTGTGTGCAAGAAGGCACTTAATAAATGAGACGCAGTTTTATTTCACAGAATGGCCACAGAATTTATAATCTAGTTTACTGTATGCACTCATGTTTCCATATTCTTGCCAGCTGAAGAGGTCATAAATTTTGGTACAGTTTAAGGAAATCATGTGGCATTCAGGAACTTCAACAAGGGAGATTCTGACTATTTTCATGGCAAGGTGCACTAAGCAAATCTAGTAAAGACTACCACTATCTGAAGAATGTAATCTAAAAATAAACTGTCTTATACAATTATAAACCTAATTGATATACTAAAACTAATTGATATACTTGAATTAAAAAAATTCAAGCCAGGTAGGACTCATACTAATCCAGACTGAAACTCTCACACAGATGACAGAGGCCACTCGCTGGTCCCATTTCTGGACAGTTATTGCCCTTGTTCCCATCAAAGTCTTATGGCAAATGGCATAAGTCAGGCTCAAATGATGGAGGGACTATGCCTGAATCAAAATGACCTGTGACATGTTCACACAATATTATTATTGAACGTGCAGCCCAAAGCACCGGAGGCAGCAATTTTTCTTTCCCCAAAAGAGTGTTTTTACCTCTTACACATAGTTAACTTTGACTGGATATTTTCCTAAACTAATGTTTCAGCTTTTCTCAAATAAAGTTTTTGCACTTTTATCAACTGTTCCCCTAATTTCTTTTTGAAATAGTCAATAGGCAAGAATCAAAAGTGAGTAGCAAAAGAGGGACTAAATTGCTAACTATTGTTTAAGATAAGGCTGTCAAACATACAGAGGGGTGTCTGCACCATGGGGCTTCTCACAGGCTGAACCCACATTTATATTTGGCCTGTGGACCGGTTGCCATGACATAGGAGGTTAACACCACTGTTGCTCACCTCCCCCTCTTTACTCTGCCCAATTTCTGGGTTTCAGTCGTATTGCAACTAAAATTGCCAGCAGTTGGCAATGGGAAAGGGAGGTGGGGGAGTTGAGCAGCAGAATTAACCCCCTCGGAGCTAGCAGTGCCAACAAAGTAGAACTAGCAGCTGCAGCAAGAAGCCCCACAACTGCCATCCGAAAGGTGGGTTGCTCAGACGACAAGAAACCTTTGGGCCAGATTTCTCACTTCTTGCCCTAGCTGCTGTAGGTATTATGGCCCATTGGCTTATTTGAGTTTGACACCCGTTGTATAAGACAATATTTAGTATTTATAAATACATTTTTCAGAGCATTATGTAAGCTAAGTAGGGATGAATGTTTTCCCTCATTCCTGTCTTCTACAAAGTTCCAGAAGTGAAGATTCTCTGCCATGACCTTTTTGAAGAAACAAAAGCACTCATGCGTCAGTGGCTGAGTACTAGGGACAAATAGTTAGTAGAACACTACCCAGTGTAATGGTAATTGATTTTGGACAAGGCTTTGCTCCCCTACCTGCCTTCTCCCCTCAACAAGCTACACAGATAGAGACCACGCTTTTCTTTTGCTGGTATCTGGGCCCTGCTTGCAGAGCTTCTAACATTCAGAACAGTTGAGCAGGCCCTCCCACTACAATGGCACCATGCCGCTGACACCAGAACATACAGGAGGAATCTCTTGGAAGCTAGAAGAAAATGGATTTGCACCAGCAAGCTGATGCACTTTTCTACTACAGCATATTTTACGTTATACATTTAACAATTAACTTGAAAATTCTCTCTCAGGACCACTACCAATTTCAAGTTAGATATTCTTACTGTGTTTGGATGCCAGAACTACTAGAAGTCTTCTCCTTAAATATAGAAGGAATATCACCGTAGCTGTTTGTGGATGAATAGCTGTCTATATGTTCCATCATTCCTGTTCTGGGTTTTGAAAGCAGCTCCAAGGAATGGCACCTCTCAACACTATCTGGTACTCCTTGAGTCTGACTGGAAGATGTGCCAGACCTATCAGAAGAATGGGCCCTCCTGAGGTAACGTGAATGTGGCCTCTCTTCAGTAAGTTGCATTGTTCGTCCTCTACCAGTCACGCCAGTTTCTTTTCCCTGAATTCCCCAAATATTGTAAGAGCTACTAGCATCAGAGGAAGCATCACTAGAATTCTTATTTTTAGGAAATAAAGTAAGTTTATTTGGAAGTGGCTGTCCCACTAAGAATCTTTTCTTTTCCTTCATGTAACCACTTATACTGATGCTAGAAGAGCCAGTAAAAGCTGTAGAAATTGTAGCATTGCCACTGTCCATGGAATCTTCTACAGTTCCAGAATCTTTACTTCGTGCTGAGTTGCATCTGGACATAAAAGGATGATCCAGGACAGATGAAAGACTTAAACGATCTGCTGGGTTTTTGCGAAGTAACTTGCGTATGAGATCTTGAGCTTCTCCTGACAAAAAGGCTGGCGTTTCATAATCTGCTAATACTACTTTGTTCAGTGTGTTCTTGACTGTGTCAGTGTCAAAAGGTGGTTTCCCAATCAGAAGAGTATAGAACATGCACCCCAAAGACCACACGTCAGATTCAAGTCCATGTGCGCTTCTTGTGGCTATCTCTGGAGAAATGTAATTAGGAGTTCCACACATTGTGTAATGCTTTTCATGTGGCATTTTCAATTGTGTTGCTAGTCCAAAATCAGCTATTTTGATGTTCATGTTGCTAGTGAGTAAAAGATTAGAAAGGGTAAGATCCCGATGTAGTATTCCATGAGAATGAAGATACAGCATCCCTGTGATAATCTGGTGCATGAAATGTCGAGCTGTTAAAATACAGGAAAAATAATATGTTACTTAGTGCTATTAACTTCAGGTTTGGCAACAATGACATTGTAAATAGCCTCTTATCTGCCCTAGGCCGTTATGTTCTACAAATTTTATTGTAATGACTTGACTGTAAGGAAATGTTATTCTAATGAGGTAGAAGCTTTTTGCTGTTACTGTACTGTTCAACTTAATTACTAGTCTATGAAACTTAACTGCTCTTATTCATATCTTTATTCATTTCTCATATTTATGCACAGACATTTCTAGTATTTATGCACAGAAGAGTAAAATGTGATGATAGAATATGAGTATAGTTTGAAAGTATCTTCACCTAACCCCAAATTGACAGCACTCTTTAAAAATTTTCCTCTTATATTACCAGGAAGGTAATATTGTTTCCACAAGTCTGGTCTTTATGTATTTATTGCATGTTACATACAGTTTATAAATGCAGGGCAGTAGGTATTTGGACACACTGTAACATATCACTAATAAACTGGAAATGTGACAACTGTGATTATCTCCAGTAAGTCCCTTTTCCTACCAGCTAATTCTAGCATAGTTAGGACAGCTTTGCTTTACAATTGCATGTGTAATTACACAACACAGGGAATACGCAGGAGTTCAGACCTCATCCAAAATGAAGTAGTATATCATAATGATATATTTTGGCTATGAGAACTGACACTTCCTTAGTGTGCAAGTGAGGCAAAGTGCCAGAAAAGCGTAAAGAAGAAAATGTTTCCAATTACTTCAGAATACAGCAAGACTGTGGTTTGTAGAAAAACTTATCTGGAGCAACCCAGGATTATTCCCAAGTATGTGAAATACAATTCAACTTTACCATTAGACCACTTTTAGGTACAGTTAACCTGGCTATGTAAAAGCACCATCTTAGCCAAATCTAACCCTTTGTTATTTAGTGTCCAAGATGATTTTGTCTGATTAAAACTAAGCCAAAACTAAAAACTTGCATTTTTTTAATCATATTTTTAAAAATTTTTTTTTGTTAAGTTGCTTTGTTTAAAAAAATTAACCTCTGTAAAGATAGTTTTAAATTTAAGATATGATAAAGCTCAAATATATCATCATGGAATAGGGATTATAGCTTCTAATTACATACTAGTTGAGACAATATATTCATGTAACCTTTTCAGAAAAGTTTTATAAATAGGTCACAACAGGCCAGGGACTATATTAGGGACCCAATCTTATGGGGTTCCCAAAGGCTCCTCTACAGATTAGTAAAGATTAAAGAAAACTACTCTACCCAATGGGACTCAGTGCTCAGTCTAAAAGATCCCATTCAGCATCTTTGTGATGCTTAGTTTCAGTTCTCAATCTGTGGATGTCTCTCCAGATAACATCCTTGTTAACAGTACATGGAGACGAGATAACAGACTTGATCAGCCCTCTTGGGTCTCTGCAAGTTTGTGTACACAAAGTCAAGCCCTTATCTCTCTCCAAGAGTGCAAAGTTTCAAGAAGTTCAGCGAAGAGAGGATATCAAACAACAAGAATGCACTTTTTGTAGAAAACAACAATTAAATCGAGGCTTCCTGATCAATGATTTCAATTGTGCTTTAAATCATGATTAAAATATTTGATTTAAATCAAATCTACCCTGAACTAAGCCTGACCAACCTTAATTTCAGCTGCCTTTGCAGTGCCAACACAATTAAGAAGAAATGGTGTCTATTTGCTTGTTGTCAGAATAGCTGTTTAAAAGATTGAATGACTTGCGTTTTTGCAATTCTTCTAGACCACAAGATAAAATACAGTCCATTCCAAAGTTTAGAATGTTTAGTAACATCTTCTTTATATGGTACTGTACTCTTCTGTGCTCCTGAATTCCATCTTACAGTGAAAGTAAAGACAAATAGGTTGGAAAGCAGTGCCAGCTGCCACCCTTCAGGACTGCACAAAGTAGCCAGCCCAGTGACCAAGTTCCTTGAACTTCAGCCCCATCCCCCAAGTATGCTCTGTTTTTCTTTTCCTGATCCTTTTTTAGGAAGAGGTGGAGAACAAAGATCATATAAAAACTAAGTTGTAGCTGGAAAAGCTATCACTCCATGGAACAAACTACTTTATATCTGTGGACAGTTGTTCCTGAATTTTTTTTAACTTTAGTTAAAGCATGTTGTAATTTAATTTAATTTAATTTAATTCTGGATCTTAGATTGTACTATTCAAGTATTGTGGAATCTCCACCCTTTGAATTTTTAAATGAAGGACAGGCAAAATTTGGCTGGAATAGTTTAGACAAAGATCTTTCTTTCCA